GAGTTAAGGATTGAGGGGTCATACCAATCATTTAGATTTTAAGTGGTCAGCATATTATCCTGTTTGACTTTTTACCATCATTCGTTTTATTCAGTTTATGTTATGGCATTTGGATACCAACAAACAATGAACAAATACTACTTCAAGTGGGCAAAAAGAACAAGCTAATAAAGAATAAGGTTTTGTCTTTAGGACTTCTAGCTACAATTGAAAAAATTTTGTTTAGTTTTTTAGCCTCTTAGCGGGGAAGCATTGTTAGCATCTAACTGTAGAATAAAGTTCAAAATATCACAAATATTGTCTCATATTGTTTCAAGATATTACAAGGTAGCATAAGTTGACATGCATCACAAAATAAAAATAAATAAAAAGACAGAAGTTGGAACTTTATCATAATGAAAAATCTCAACACAATGGATGATTATGTTTAAGTAGACTTTCAATATGAGGCTTTGCACATACCCCAACAGTTTCGCCATATCCATTAAGAACAACAGCCATGTGAACCTTTCTGATCTGGAATTCTCTAAGAAGATTCCACACTGACATTGAATCCGCAAAACCAATTTTTCTAAATTTTATTGTATAGATAATTGAAGCATTCTATTTTTTCCATTTTCTTTTCCCCTAGACAATAACTACTAAAACAACAACAAATCAGTCTGCTGAAACAGGGTCTTCTTCACTTCAATTGATTACAAAAATCAAAAAGGAAATGATGTCTTCACATAAAATGTGGATAATATTGCGCGAAAATGAAGTAATTGCAATTAAAAAAAAAAAAACAATGCAACTAGCTCAATCAACCAGTGGTAGTGTCATAAAAAGTTAGAAAGTGTTATTATCAACCCAAAGAACATCATTAAATATTAACTAGAGAAAAAAAATCAAGGGTTACCAGGCACAAAGTAGGCAGGATTGTAGCCATGTCTCTCACAGTAAAACTTTCAAGTTGCCCATCCTCACCAGTTCCCAAAAAAAGAAATAAAAATCAAAGTGATTATAAATCTGCATGCTATGATATTGACATTGTTGCATATAATTGATACGAAAAGTTCTAATGATGGAAAAAAGGGTGCATCAAAGGGGGAAATTGCCTGCCCTTCCGAACAAAATCAAGTAGATCCATTGCATATGCAATGCCAACTATATTGTCAACACACTACTCAAAAACAGGTACCCTATAAACAGAAATCTTTCAACAAGTTTCTTGAAGGAGACAAAGTCTTAGAGATGAATTACCAATTCCCTACCTTGTGAGTCACCCACAGATGTTGGAAATCAACAAGAGTTGCACTTGCATCAATTGCAACCATATCAACAAGGGGTGTTTTTACCTCTCTAACATGAGTATCCTGTATCTCTAATACATTTTCAATCATATCCTGCAAGGAATTCATAAAATTAGAGCATCTAAACTGTAAACAAACAGAAAGGCACCTGTTGGCAAAAAAATTAAATTGGATTTCCACTAGAATCTGATTTTAAAACAGAAATTTCTAGAGAAATATATGGCCAAAAAAAAATATGCTTTACTGTAAATCTGCAACCAGAGTCAAGCATAGATGATACTGATGAATTTGATCCCAGTAAAAGAATTCAGAAACTGAAGAAACTTTCTAATTCTTATTTGAAAGAAAAGAGACACTCAGGCTAGTAAAGTAAAGAAAAATTAGCATATTTCACTACCTGCTCTCCCTCCTCTATTGCTCTACTCATTTCTGCCCCACCTAGCATCAGCTTTAATTCATCTTCAATAACATAAGGTTCACTAATTTAAAGAGAAAACATGCAAAGCATATATAAAGCAGTCAATACAAACTTAACAAACAACTAGATTCTGGAAACAAAAAATGTAACAGACAAAAAGGAGGATATGATTTCCTTCACCTTTTCCCTTTTAGACCAAGTAATTTACGCATTCCCATTGATAAATAAGTAACAATTCTTCCCACTGGATATGGTATCAAGGAAAGCCATGCTACTGGCCTGACCTAGTGACACAGCAAATAGCATTAGCCAAATAATTTTAATTTGCTAGCAGTCATCAGCTAACTTGAAAAGAGTTAAATAGTAACATAGATCATGGAGTTTGAAAGAGAAAGTTAAAATTTTTCAGCAAAGTTTTAGTTGCCAATTCAAGAAGAAAATGGAAACTTGAATGGAAATTGGAAAACTTACTTCAAATCTAGCAACCTCTATGGGATTGTGAACAGCTATACTTTTTGGAGTGATCTCAGTAAGAAGCAAACTACCAACCTGGAATCATCCAGGAAAAATTCAATGATTATGGTTTCTTTCAATCTTTCACGCTCTTTTTTTTTTCTTTTTTTTTTTTTTGGAAAAAGGCAAGCTTTTCCATTGCATGAAAAAAACATATCTACAATAAACACTCAGTATACCTGGGTTTAACGCATCACCTGCCACTCCAAATTACAACTGCAAAAAGTTAAAAAATTTATTTTTTCTACTTTATTTAACAAAGCTGCTATGCCATTCAGTGTGCACAGATATGTATAGACCAGAAACAAATTCATTTAGGAGAAAAGGAAACAAAAAGTATAAAAAGATCAAAGTATAAAAAAAAAAAGAAAAAAGTAGTAAAAATGGAAAATACCCCTTAAAGAAAATAAGCTAAGCTTGTCATGTACCCTATACAAGACATTTTTTTTGATTTTCTAGTAAAATACCAACTCCTTTATCAATAATATAAAAAGAGAAAGATATGCAAATTAATCTACCATATCAAGAATGACTAGTGCCCAAAGGTTTGGATACCCATAATATTGAAAAAAGAAAAATAAAGAATGACCAGTGCCCTAGTGTTGAAACCTAAAATACCAATTCTCTGATTCAAAGGCCCTATGGTCTCAAAAGATCCAGCTCACTTACCATTACCACCTTCCCATTATCATAGAGGTAGGGGGAAAAAAAACAATTGATAAACAACCTGCCCACCCACCTTTTGATTATTCTGCAGTCTAATAGAGTTACCCAACATGATTTCTTATTTGTTCTTCTATCATTGTTTTTGTAACAGTCAACTCTACAATTCAGGTGCTAACTTAAAGAGATTTATCCTAAAGCAATTAAAGCATTTTACTCTAATTTACTACAAATTCAAAATGTGTTACATACAAGCACAAATAGAAACATGCAACGAGGTTGGGTATGTGGGACACGTAGAGAGGACAGAATTTTTATATACATAGAGTCATTACTCCAATTGCTGCCCTAACACCAGCTTCTCCAAATATTGCTATTGCTGCATCTGTAACCAAAGCAGTCGCTCCAATATTGACCATCCTAGTGAGAAAAACAGAATCTAAAAATAAATCACACACCAAAGTTAGCATAGACACACAGAACTGGGTCAGTTAAGTGATGATGGGAAAGACTAGTATGTAGTGCCAATAAGATTGGTGGTCAAAAACCAGGTTACATCACTGTGAAGCGTTTGAAATACACCATCTTCAGACACTAAACCCAATATCTCAAGGTAGTTGTTTCAAGGATCAAGTCAAAAGAATTGTAAGAGAGGTTGAGAGAAACTAACTTGGGGAGGTGAGCAATTTCTCCCGGAACTTGGCCCGAAAATCGAGAAAAAGAGACATCAAGATGCTTTAGTCTAGTAAACTGACTGATTTCCGATGGAATCTTGGAATGCCTAAAATCATTCAAGGAAAGATTGAGGCTCTGCAGGGTTTTTGAGGAAGAAAAGAGTGCTATTGGAAGGAAAGGTGCCATAAAGGAAACTGCAGCTGAGATGGGCAATTACATGGCCTGTGACGTTATCACAGCTAACCCCATCCCAGGAACAACAGTCTACACCTTCCTTCCATGACTCAATCTTAGAATAATTAGGTTTAGTATAAAAATGATCCGCACAATAATCTGGATAACCTGGATAAGGAATGCTGTAATTGATGGAGAAGGATGTCTTGAATTGCAGCAAAGCAAGAGCCTCCTCATGAGAGCAGAGATGCGTTGTTGAGAAGGAAGAAGCATGTATAGAGGATGAGAAGGCAGTTTTAAGATAGAGGAAGACGAAAAGGAGGCGGAGTGGTGCAGAGAGCTTTGTGAAGATCCTCATATCTTTGTTGGGCGCAATAGAGTACTTAGGAAGAGTACATATAGAGTGTTTAAAATTGAGGTATGCTAATAATTGAATATATTCCATCAAAACAAAAATAAATAAATATAGAAAGTAATATTGATGCAGCAATGGATGTCAATTTTTAATTTATTTTTTTACTTGTCTTTTATTTATTATTTTGAAAGTAAATGGAGTAATTAAAGATTATAATCACATTATTAACAAGTTTTTAATTAATAATTTAAATCTCAATAAAAAATTACTATCTTTGTTATTTTGTGATATAAAAAAAGTATTTTTCCCACTTAAAAATTAAAATTAATAATTTAAAAAGACTATTTATTTACATTTCTTAATATATATAACAAATATTAGTAGATGAATATTAATATTAAAAAATTATTTAAAGTAATTTACAATAGTAGATGGTATAATCTTTTTGCAGATCAATCAACCAAAATTTCTGTTTTTCCACAATTTACCCTGGGGAACTTGGTAAAATCAGCAGCTCTCCATAGAAGTCAAAGAGGGAAAGTCTCGCAACAAAATCGTTTTGCTATAATTGAGGAGTTGCTATAATTTATATATATATATTATATATAAAATAAT